TGTATGCAGCATCATTTCCAAAGTAGGACCGTGGACGTGGTACATTCCCAGACGTTTCGCCGGCATCGTAGTCAGCATCATAAGTAAGTCTTGCCAGTCTCACCAACCACACTGCAACTCGTCAAAGAGACAAATAAATTCGATCCTCCGAACAAATGTGTGCTAAACTGTTGTGGTATCTCTCCTCTCCTGGGCTATTCACCTTTTATGTATCCTCGTATCAGGCCGTTACTATCACAATTTTACTTGCTTATTTAAATTTGGTATGGTGTACCTTTTTGAGCGGTTCTCATGACAATATGGCAGACTCTGACCAAAATTCTTAGTACAAGGATGAAGGGGGGTGAGAAGTCCAGTGTGGAGTGCTGAGGGTTCTCATGAAAGCCGCTAAAAAACGGGCACATCGTACCACATTTAATTAAGCAAGTAAAGTTGTGACAGTGAAAGCGTGATTGGAGGATATAGAAAATGTGAATAGGCCAGGGCTAATTGGGAGATACCATAACTGTTTAGCATACGTTTGGTCAAAGGATCGGCTTCACTTGTCTATTTGACGAGTTGTAATATGGTGCTATAAATGGTAAAACTCACTGACGATGCCGACTACGATGCCGGCGAAACGTTTGGGAATGTACCACGTCCACGGTTCAACTTTGGAAATGATCATGCAGACAAAGACTCTGGACAAGGTGCGTTTTTCTAAATCCTCCTACCAATATGACCATGTTGCGAAAACTAGGTCATACAACCCCATTCACAACGAAAGGAGACTGCGACCACACAAAAGGCACACCATCTTGGTTTTCATACCTTCGAGAAACTCATTGAATTTATATATTTGCAAACTTAAAATCGAACGATGCCTATCAAGTCAAACTCCAAATGATTCAAGCATGCATTAAAGGGAGGCAAGCGGTTGTATACTCTTCGCACATAGAAACAGGAATACTTTAATAGGACCCATGCTCTGCCAAATCCCTAACCCCTAACCAAATTTTCCAAGAAGACGGATTTGATGAAACGCGTTCAAAAGATATCTGGGTAATCAGCTGGATGAAGCAGAACTAAGGGGACAGCATCTTCTTGCAGCAAGCGTGAAACAGTTTTATGCTTTAGCACCAGTCCCTAATTCCCAAACTTCGCGTCGAAAGCAGAAAGATGACATCAATCGTTGATTGATGTACTAATTAAAACACGACTCACCAGACGCTCTTGGAAGCGAATCCATACTAGATACCACAAAACACTGGCTAGTCTTCTCAGCATGAAGACTTTTTCAGGCAATTTAGTCAGCAGATTTGTCGCAGTCTGAATTAAGACCACAATAAAACCGATCACTTTTTAGTACATTCCTATCACCCAAACCAAGTTGAGCAATTTGGTCAGTCTATCCGCTCTTCTGATAGCAATTCAAAAATAATTCGAAAACTAGCATATCGCATGGTGGGAAGAGAATTATTACAATGGTTGCACAGGGTTATGGCTTCATTTGTAACATTGACAGATTGTGAGTTTTTGCCGGGTCTGGAAATGTTCATTAATGATGCCACCTACGATGCAAAGGAAATTGCTGGAAATGCAACTGATCAACAAGCTGATTAACCAAAGTGAAAGTTAGATACGTTTATTGAAGTCACCATGTAAGTTTTGTCAAGTCGCACAAACAAAGCTACATCCAAAAAGTAAGTATGAATTTAAACTAAAGTAGACCTTGATTAAAGGCTTTAGTAACCTTCGCTCGAGTATGATGATAATTTTATTCACCCCATTCGAAATGAGCAAGCCTCCTAAAGCCATAGAATTTCGCATAGCCTTGCCTATCAAAAAGTTTTCTCAGTTAGCTGAACCACAGATTCGATCTCATCCAAGCATCATCAGCGCATTCAACGGAATTAAAAACCGAGGGGTGAGCGTAATGTGGCAACGTTACCATTTGTAAATAAAAGAACTGTTGTCACAGGTCAGAGATGATCTACAAAGCGAGATAGGTCTCTACCAATTCACATGTATGAAGAGACTTAAGTCGACAAAGTATTCATTCTGAATAGGTTTCGAAATTATTAGTAAATCTCTTATACGAGCTGTATTAACCATGAGTCGTGTAAGCTGATGAGGACTAACAATTGAATCTTCCCACACTCATATGAGTAGGCCTGGCACTTCCGTTTGAGAAGCAATGCCATGCAAAGTTCAATGGCAACATGAGATCTGGTCATATGATTGGGGAAAAAATCAATTATCAATCCTTCATCATATACGACTTAAGGTGAATACAGTTCTTATGCAAGGAAAATTGGGGTTTGACAAATACAATCGACGGCCCTATTAACACAAAACTTCGGTTTCGAGGCAAGCAGTAAGTTCCGCATAAAGACCCGGATTATCCTAAACCATAAAAAGTGATGTAGGGGCTGAAAGTTGAATTCCTAGCTTTAAGCGACTTTAGGTAAGTCGAGTTTATATCCAGAATCTCCTTAGATAACGGTATTTGAAAACTTTTATTTCGTATGAAGGTTCATTTAAATATGAAATGAAAGTCACCATAACATTAGGGATATGAGAGAAGATGTCCTTCATAAAACTCTTGCTTAGAATACTCACTTCATACAGTTTTGCCCGGTAGTCGGACACGGTGAGTTGACGATCATCGTCTAGTGGTGGCACCACGAAGTGGTCGAGAGCTATCTCACTCTCAGGATCGCGAAACCTGAATTAAAAAAAAGTTTTTTAAGATGGATCTGTAAATATACAATCGAGATAGAAATCGACTTTTCATAATAAATTACCGACTATTACAATAACGACATGGACGAACCGTTTTTGAACATAGTTACAAAGGCTTGTAGAACGCAAATAGGAATATGCAACATGTAAATAAAATGACTTGCTTGGTGTTCAAGTAGTGAATGCTAGCTGAATCAACGAACACACAACAACCCAAAATCTTAATAGCAGCTTTCTTATGATAAACTTAAGCAAAATATATTAATTAAATGCTGCAAACGGAATTCTGTAAGAAGCATTTGTATGAATAGTGCCTTGAACAAATCCCAAATATTTAAGTGGTAACGGGTTTGGGTCCACCGTTACTTTTATCACAGAGTCAAAACTAACTAATGAATCAAAATTAAGGTAAGATATGAAGACCAAGATTGTGTGGCTCTCGGAATAGTTACAGTTTCCTTTCGATGTCGAGAAGTGGATTGACCTCGTTTTCGCAACTTAGTCTTGCTATCAGGGCGACATAGTTGGACACACTTTCTCCTAAGTCCTCTGCCATAGTAGTTACCATAATTACCAGCACCAGATCACGGTCTTGGTACATTCTCAGACTCTTCGCCGGCATCATCAGTGAGTCTTGCCGTTCTCAGCACCAAGTTAAAATTCATCAAAGAGACAGCTTAGTACTGAGAATGGCAAGACTCACTGACGATGCCAACTACGATACCTGCGTCCAACTAAGTCGCCTTGACAACAGAAAAAACGAGATTAACCCACTCCAAAATTAAGATAATTGAGTCAATTAATGACTTAGATTAAAAGAGGATTCAATCGGAAATATTCGAATGTTGCTTGCTTGCCAAGCAAAGTTCTAATGTTGGAATATATGCTGCAAAATGTTTATTCTGTGGTAAACCAAAGAATAGGCAGTCCTTAAAAGGCGATTGCACTATAAAAATTATTCAGGCTCTCGAAGATGTATTTTTTAACTGCATGGGAATTGGGCAATCCATTGAGATGGAAGAAAGCAGAAAAAAATTATGGTCCTTCTTCGCAAGTTCTTAATTTGAGATGTGCCCACCCTATTTCATTAAAGGTGATATGACGCTTCCATCGAATGTTACATAGCCTTTTTTCCCAAAATGTATTCTCATCCAGGGAGAAGTGGACTGCAGTTTCGAACTCACCGGAAGTGGCCTCATCAGAACTTCCGCAGGTACTCGGACCATGATAATGTAGCGTATAATCTCTAAATGCCAATTACTACGACAGATTGCCACGAGTGCCCTATGGTCACAGGGCAAATGTGGATTTAAAGGAAGGTCAGGCATCTTCCAATATCACATTCTTTGATGAGTGTCGATGAAGAAAAGTTATATTTGCTATATCAATCAACTACACTACTTATTTTTCGTTTATAAGTAGAGTCTCGAGACTACTAGCTAATAAGTTATATGAGATTTTTTTTCACCCTATTTAGTTTACATCTCATATAACTGATTTATATGTAGTCTCTATACCCTACTTATAAAAGAAAAATAAGTAGCGTAGTCGACTGATCATCTACTCATTTTATGAAGACGTATCACAAATTTCGAAATTTCGGAGATTTTCTTGAACGGAGTACAAATAAATTGTGATTTTTTAAGCATCAAGCTAACACTTTTTTTTTCAATATTATTAAGTTGGGTAATTTTTTTATTAATTTTGGGCAGAACAAGCGCAGTGGGGGGCCTAGCATCTCGCTGGAAGAGTAAGTTCATTTTCGGCTGTTTACACAATGTTGCATAAATCCCTTAAGTCTAGCCTTAAGTCTTTCTGCCGGGAACCTAATAATAGTTCTATATGTTGTCTATTGTCAATGCTAACATAAGTTTCTCTAAATGAACACTACATACACACAATATACAAGAGCACAAACACAAACACGAGTTAACATTAGAGGATCGCACGCTAGTTTATTTTTGTAAGGAAACAGCTGTTA